GTTAAAGAGGTAAAATAAAAACCTTCAATAACAAAAGAATTAGTGCCTTTTTGTTTCAAGCGTTTACTGTTTTTGCTTGCCATTACGGAATGACATTGAGGGGAAAAATTCAATAACGATCAATCTGTGAACAGACGCTGTATTGTATCTAAACTTAAACCTACTTGTGCAACAGTGCACAGTAACCTTTGATTAAAGTGACCTACATAACGTTCAGTTTAGCAGAATTATGAATGCCAGCTAACTAGTGAGACTATATCTATGTCTTGTCCCTAGGCATTGGAAAAACCTAGGGGTATTATTTTGTTTTATTTTAATGGTTTAGATTTTTTCTTTTGAATAAACATCTGGTATGAATCATAGGAAACAACCTACATTTGACTAAATTAATGAATGAATGAATGATGCATTTATATAGCTCTTTATTGTGTATAAAACGAGCCAGGTTTCATCCCATCCGTTACTCATCAGTTAGTGGACAATACTCTAAATCTCATGGTCAGGATTACGAGAAAGGCTCATCTCTGAGGGAAAGAGACATTTTGTTGAAAAACACAATATAAATTAAATAATGAGAACATTAGAAATCAATACAAAAATGCCCAGATGTATATGTTGGGGAACGAGAATCCACACGGTACAGAGACATCACTGTGTCCTAAAGCTGAGGCGAAGGAACCAGAGAAGGCCTAAACTAGATGAATGGTACCACATCCATCAACAGGTCCCAGGTTTTGGATGAATCTAAAGCAAAGTTCACGGGTCAGTCAATTCTAGCCTTGTTTAAACAGTCCAAGGTTTACTCTGAGCCCAAACTATGCCCAAAACATTTCAATTTATGTCATGACCTAGTCCAGCTGGGCAAACGTTTTAAAACAAGCCAGCACAGCTGGCTCATATTAAAGTCTGGAGGTCCCAGTAGGTCTCAGGTTTTAGTCCAGGTGCTGAGATAGTCCTTTAGTGTCTGAGTTTGTATTTAGGTCCTCTGCTATCCAAGCTGTATCTGTCCAGAGTAAATGGTAAGTACAAGCATGATGCCAAACCCAGTGAGCAGCCCTGCGTTCTGGATGGCGAAAGTTAGCAGAGATCCACTTCCTCCGGCCTCCTCTTCTTCACGACTCACCTCATTCATCTCAGGAAACTGCAGGAACAAAGGAAGATGGAGACACATGGATTGTAAGAAAAAATTATAAAATCAACAGCATCAATGATAACCACTTGAGTAATGACATTCTCTGTTTTCATAGTTATCAAGTTAGACAGGCATCAAGTTTCTTATTCTCACCCAGGCTGCATTTATTTGATCAAAAAATACAGCAAAAAAAAAAAAAGTAAAATTATTACAATTAAAAATAACATTTTTCTATTTTAATATACTTTAATGTGAATTTTCATCAGTCATTACTTCATTTTTTCTGTCACACGATCCTTCAGAAATCATTCTAATACGCTGATTTGATGCTCAAGAAACTTATCAATGCTGCTTAATATTTTTGTTAATATAAGTCTCTGGTGTCCCCAGAATGTGTCTGTGAAGTTTCAGCTCAAAATACTCCACATATCATTTATTATATCATTTTGAAAATGCCTATTTTGAGTGGAAGCAGAAACACGCTGTTTTTCGTGTCTCTTTAAATGCAAATGAGGTGCTGCTCCCCACCAACTTTTCCAGAATAGAGCTGCGCCATTACAGCTTGGACCTGCTAAAAACATCTGTTTTGGTTCTGATTATCCTGTTTATCGCACTGAAATCATGCATTTTAAACCATATTAGTTTAAACTTCTTATATACGGTTTTCTGAGAGCACATGGACAGAAAGCGGCTGTCACAGCATGTGAGTACTAAACTAAGTTCTCATTCACACACAAGTTGTAAAAACACACGAGTTACAAAAACAGTCGGTTATGTCTGTGAAGGTAAACTGCTGGTAAATTGATCGCATGTTTATTTTAGATCTGTGTGGCAGGCAGCAGCAATATACAGTAAATAAATCAATAAATCCACTGCTCTCTTGTGTCCTCTGAGGCTGGGACTCTAAACAATGTTCTGTGCTCATCTGTGCAGCCAAAGACAGAACAGTTAGCATGTTTTGCTCAAACTTTCGCCATGGCATTAGAACTAGTACACCGTTGTCGCTTGCGAAATCAAATGATGGCTCCGTGGGTGGAAACTTACAGATTAAGGGGCGGTAATATTATGAGATCCCTTTGCCACGTCACTAGGGGAGCGAAATCAGACGCGCTCGTTTTCTCAGACGCTTGCAGAAAAAGGCTT